TCTCCTAGATGACCCACATATATTTTGATTTCATCGTATTCACCCCAAGCATCTTACGGGACATGTCAAGCACTTACTTTTATCCCGTGATAAATCATTGTTCATTGTTCATTGGTCCATGCTTTAGGGTACGAGGTGCACGGTCCTTGTGGCCATGTTAGGCTCGAAGAGTGGTTCCATGCACTCAGTGTGGAGCGGACTACGGCCCAGCCACCGCCTTGTATGAGACTGATTTCCCAAATACAGCGTGCTTGTTTCTGCTTGTGAGAGTGTGGGCCGGCTCTGTTAATGAAACGTGGCTCCCATCCACATGCCTCCCGGTCTTATTCCTTCTGGTTTATACTGGATATGGTGTGTGGTTGGAGCGGTGGGTGGTGCAGCGCAAGTCATCCATGGACCGTCTGTAGGCGCAGGCATCCTGTGGCTGCCCACAGTGAAGCAATTAGAAAACCGGATGCGGCCAACCATAAAGTACACACTGACCCGGCATCAGAATAACGTAAGCATAACACTTTTCCTACTTACCGGTGGCATACAGTCCGCGCATTGAGTTGTATATCAAATTTGATGCATTAAACCTTTGTGGATTTTTGTTGTCTGATTATAACTCTCAATATTTCGGCAGTTCCCTTTTCAGGCGTCCTAGTTTTCGTAAGTCTGAAACCAAACTACATAGTCTAAAGTTATTCTTGTATCGAGTATTTCGCGACGCACTATAGTACAAAGTAGACGATGCACTACGTATATCACTCGCATATGATTCATTGGAAGCCAATCCCATGTCATTGCCTTACTTTGGACATCCGATATAGCTGCAATCCTCATACTACGTATAACCGTGCGTACGTGCATCTATATCTCTCAGAGACTTCGAATTTTCTCGTTTCCCTACTCGCGTATACTTATGTATGCTATGCAACCAGTTGTCTAAAGTGATGAGCCGGAAATGCAATCAAAGCAGGTCTTTCTTGCACATAATCAGGCAAATGTACGAATGTGTCGAATCGGATTACGACATCACACAACACTGATCTCACTGATTGCGGTTCTGACAATGCGTAATAGAAACCGTAACCTTCATTCCATTTGAGTCATAAGGTTCCGGGAATACCCGGCCAGAATTTCATCATACTGTATTCCATACTTCTCTCGGGACTTCACCATCTGCCAAACTTTTTCAATCGGATTCAGGAACAGGAAGAATGGGCTCAATCTCAGAATGGCAACCCCTTCCTATCCTTCGACTGACGCAGGTGCTTCCAAACCTGTGTGACATAGTGCATTATCACACACTACGACCACCTGCCGGAGCTCCACTAACCGCTTCAGCTTGTCTAAAATGCCGCGCAGCCATTCGAGAGATAGGGGCCAGTGAATGAGCCTCTCTGAGTAGTCATCGAAACCGTTCCATCCATTGTGACTTCACCGATGAGATGCAAATTCAAGCCTCAATGTTGGCTATTTTGACAAAAACCCTTACTCTTCTGGGAGCCCGACCATGAGTACGTTTGCAGTAAACTTGGTAGTTTGTTTCATCAATCCATATGAAGAACTTCCCATCACTTTCAATTTCGAGAAACTGTTGAACAAACTCCTTTCATATCGCTTTGTTTCGATCATTGTTCATTACTTCTGGCGTGTGATAGGTGTTCTTCAAAGTTTTCAAACGACCATCCAGGTGTCGTGCGGTTGTAGACTTTGAAATGTTCTTATCCATATCAGCCAGTACACGGGCTCGCATTTCGTGTAGTGTTCGAGTTGCGTCCTTCGTGATCCACTCCAGGATGTCATCAATTGCCTTCCTCCGACAGCATACACCCACGACCGCGCGACTGCGTATTATCCGGCTTCTGATCAAGAGAGCGACGATGCCAGGAGTAGGAAGTTTGGTTTTTCACATTGTTCGCGGTTGCCACGAGTTGCCAGTCGTCACGGTTGACGTAGGCATCCACAACTCGGTCACGAATGTCTGACGCGATACTCTGTTGAACACGAGAAGATGTGTTGACTACGCTGAGATGAAAGATATACATTTAGTCGTTCGCTTATGTTACGGTCATTCATTGCTCTCAGACCAATTGTGATCCAGCGTTTCGGACTTGAGGGTAGGGGCACATTGTATTTCATGGCAGCGGCCATATCCATAGCCTTGAGGTTCATTTACAGGTTTCGCCCAGTCAAAGGGCAGCGCGCTCACTTCACTTGACTGACGCACCAAACCCTAGCACCCGATCGATGCAAACACACGTGAGGTCAGAGGATTGGCTCAGAACGGCTGGCGAATCGCACAGGGTTTTGCAACACTGAAGATTCTTTGAATATTATTGAACGTTTTATGCAAATTTTTGTACTTTTCTGCAAGTTATATGGAAATGCTATAGAGTATTTTGTCATCATACCTTGCAATTTAGCTAAAACTGTTAGAATAGCTTTGATAACGTGCAACCCTCTTTTACCGACGGGTCCATTAGGCTCTCAGCAATATTTGCTTATCAGGACAACTTTCCTGCAAATATCTTTTCACTCTGGCTTCAGCTACTGAAATGCCACGTCCTTCTTCTCTATAGTTAAATATGTTCGATATTCTTCCCAACTAGAACGGCTTCCGCTTTATAAATTGGCTTAACATATCCCCCACCTTAATGGGGAATATCTAACATACTTGCAGATAATCAGGCAAGATATCCGTTTATATTTCTTTTTGGTTAGTTCTGCCCAGCTGTCGAATATACTGCCGTCACAGCTAAGGGCATGCACGAAACTGGCTATTGTTAAATATTAGATTGGTAGAAATTCGTCACATCTAGACTCACTCAGACAGTCTCCACACGCCCGGAAAAGCACTGTATGTGCGTTTCATCCTTTCGGGAATCGTCAGCAGTGGTCATTCTACCGAAGGCTGGTAGCGCTCGAACCAGTAACTCGACTGTTGCCAGTCCGTGGTTGAGGTCACTGAGCTACGGGGGACGGCAACAACAATCGTGAATAAGTTACTAGATGTGATATAGCCCCGCTCACTATCCACTGACTCACACGTTACTGCCGTGCAAAGGCCAGAGTAGCTCCTCACCAAGCGACGAGCTTACCTAAATTAAGCCGCCAATTAACCTGTGGTATTATAAGCAGTTTGACCTTTGCACTGATTGCTGAAGCGTAGCAGAGGGCGTTGAGTGGTACACATAGAAATTCGTCACATCTAGACTCAATCAGACAGTCGTCACACGCCCGGAAAAGCACTGTACGCGCGTTTCATCCTTTCGGGAATTGTCAGCAGTGCGCATTCCATCGGACCCTGGCAACGCTCGAACAAGCAATTCGACTGTTGCCAGTCCGTGGTTGAGAACATGGAGCCACGGGCGCCGGCAACGACCACTGTAACTAAGTTACTATACCTTTTACGACTCAAGTCAACCCATAACGGAATCAAGCTCCTCCTTAAGAATATTCACCCCAATCCATAAGCACATCAAGCTGAATCCAAAGTAGCGCACACGCACAAATGCGGGCCCATCGCCTTGACCAATTTCAAATCAGTACAAGAATACTCAGAAAATCTGCACCGGTTGGTGCGGCGGTTACACCGCACGCAGCAAACAAACCACGTGATGCATATGCGGACGTGAAAAACATGAGCTCATCCACTGTAGAATGAGGTTCGGACCAACACGCGGCATCTATGGACGGTTGAGGAAGTACTGTAACTACCACTCACTCAATTATGAGGCGTCAAGACACACAACAAAGAACTGGGAGGGGCGGAGATATTCCATCTGCGTTCATGGTGCTCACTTTTGCGTATAAACGACCGGACATGAAATGTGCTCCACAAAGAGACAGTATCGATTGCCTTCACTGAAGGTAGCTGCATGTAATCTAGCAGACAGGTCCGTCACCTCACGTGGTGTGACCTATGCTTAGCGGTGTCTACATGTGGTCGATTGTGGATAATATTGCTCAGATGAAATAATGCGTGCGGCGCTTCATTACGCGCTATCACGGAACAATGCGTTAGTAATCGGTGGGTGTGGCCGAATTACATATTAACTGCAGTTGATCGGCCTTAATAATGAACTTAGCATCAACACCTGCATGGCAATGCATGATGTACTGCAGTGAGCTTTGCGGAAGTGTACCGCGTAAATTGTGATAACGTTACTGGGTTGGCAACAGCTTGCATTTACTGGTCTATATGCAATCGTTAGTATAATGTAGCCGTTGACATGGTGAACGAATACGTTTATGAAGAAGTGTCATGAGTTCGTATGTAACGAAGATGCAACGATGATCTATGGTGACGTTAGCGTACTTCTCACCAAGGTGCCAAAATTCGACGCACTGGGTATGGTGAAACGCTGTTTGACCGAAGAGATTAACCTAGGGAGTGGCCGAAGCTTAAGGTGGTTGAAACAACCAACATTGCGCCGTAGATTGTCTTCGTTAATCTCCCCGCTGCCTTGCGGGTTAGGTCTTGAGACCAAAGGCTCGGGGTAGGTCCCTTAAGTCAACCAACTTCCTCGGCCTGAGTAACCGGAAAGATTTCTACCCACACAATAACTTAACTTTCTAAACTTTCCAAACTCTTTTACTGTCTACCAGTTTTTCCTCATTTTTTATTGTTGTTAATTGTGTTGTGGCATTGTCAATAGTATATTGGTAAGGTGTTGTTGATTATATTTTAAATTGTTATTGCTGTTAACACTAATAAAATGAAATTCAGATGGGTGGATAGTCTATTTGACCATTTGATGCTCAGCGTCACTTTACACTTCGACCATAATTCATGGTAAAACTACTAAAGTGTATGCGAGTGCTACATCGCACACAAAATTTACGCAAAGCCAATCCCAATCGCACTTTTGTAGATATTGGACATCAACATTCCGCTATCCTGGGGAGTTGCTGTCTTGATCAAATTGACAGATGAAATCAACCGAAATTGGCTATGCACGCGATACTGTAAGGAGGCAATCACACGAGCGGACATTGTACAGAAACAAGAGATGCCAACAGATTTGCCGCCGTCAGTGTCCAAATTGCCCAACTCTGTGTCCAAGTCAGATTTGCTCTCCATCTCTGTGTACGCAAATTCTGCTCGCGTGCGACTGATGAGCGAGGGAGAACAAATGAATATTTTTAACTTACTCGCGTCGATCGGTGGAATATTTGGTCTCTATGTGGGCCTTTCTGGAGTTACGGTTTTCGAAGTGCTCGAAGCGCTATTCCTCATTATTATTTCCATACCAGTTCTGTGTCGAACTTATGGGCGATCAGTGAGGTCCGCATTCCGCAGGCGTCGAGAAAGAAGAGCGCAAAGTCGACGAACTGATTTGGAAAAAAGCAAACCCAGTGACTGACACAAACGCTCTGTTAAACCGTATCTTCTTGTTGCAGGCTAAAAGGCCCTGTCTCAGAGTTCATATTTCTTCATCAGCTGTCTTACTGTTGCAAAGCGGATATCGCGTTCATGGTACCTAGTCTCTTGGATTATTTCACACAAGTGAGTAAAATGTTCTTTTACGAATAACTGCAAATGTTCACCGTACACTGGGAATTTACTGGAATAAAAGGTCATCTGAAAGACAATTGTTCTCCCTAATTTCTGACATGCTAAATTTTGAGACACCATCAACAGCCAAGAACCGAACACATGTTGATGAAGGCATGGTTGCCAATTTAAACGGATACTGAAATCATGATCAGATTTCAACACTATCAAGCTTGCAGGCTTTGGGATTACCGCAAGAAAAAGTCATGTTAAACGGCTGGAAATAATGTTAAGTTTACTCTATCAAATTTGGGCGGCCCAAGGTAAATGAGGAAAACTTTAGGTATCTCATGATTAACATACCATTTGCTTCATTTTGTGGAACTTTTCAGAGTACTTTACTAGACCCTTTAGCTGCAGGTACTGCCAGTCCTCGATAAGTACATTTGTGTTCTTGTTGATAGAGCAACTCTGTGGTTTTTATTCTTAAGCAATTACAGATGCATGGTCACAAAATGGGGTTTCCCAACTTGCGTCAGCTGCAGCGTCACCGTTGAAAATGGCTCCATCGAACACACGCCCAGGAAAGAACAATAGTGTGGTTAATAAAAATTAAACTTAAGAAGTAACTAATTTTCTGGTATATTCTCCATACATCTCGAAAATAAGATCGTTTAGGTGCACATAGCTTTGTTTCCTTGGTACTTTCTACCGATTCAGAATACAAATAAGAGCATGATTCAACCAACAAGTGGTAACAAATCACCTTAAATACCAAATGTAAACACTATCCCGACATCCTCATAGCTGGAATGTGGTGTGTTCGCTCAAACTATGCGGAATGCTACCCTGCCAGTCTATTAGATGTGGAAGTGTCTAACATGAAGATGAATGCGGATGCATGCATGCTGTTTAAGGATTAGTTCCATTCTGTTTCTTTGAGAGCACAGAAGCTGGAATTTTATTCTATGTATGATGATTGAAAATGCTTATTCTGTACCGAAGGTATTGTACCGCATATTTCCAAATACGCTGGACAGCATGGAAACTTGCCAAGTTAGTTTTATATTAAAACTTAGAATCAGTCTCTTCTGAGGCTTCCATGAATGTTATATCATGTAATTTTCATATCGTGTTTATCAACACAAGGGTGGGCAGGTTCTCAGACAAGCTTTGGTAAACCGCATTTCTCTTTGCGTTAATTCCGATGTGAGAAGCAAGGTTTTATCGATTAATAGGCTAGCAAATTCTCAAAGGTCCGCGAAAGCCACAGGAGATTATCCGAAAGAGGTTTAATTTATGCCAAACGGGTTGATAGAGTAGGGTGTCTAATGTCTTGATTGAAATGCTTTGTTTACCAATGTAAAAGTCTAACATTATGATTAAGATTGCAAAGTATCCAAGTATGTGCCATACCAGCTTCGATTTAAATGGTGCAGTGACAAAGCGAAATTTACAGTGTTAAATCATCCGAATATAACGGTCAACGTCAAGGAAGTCGCCAGACATCTGTAATGAGGCTGTCCCAACCTAACGAATGCGCGTTCATTGCACATAGTGTTCACTGTTGCACGCAGGCGACCAGATGTGACGTGTGTTCCACGGTGATACCGTATCGATTGTATTCACTGAAACTAGCTGCATGCAAACTACCAGACAGGTCCGTCAACCTCACGTGGTATGACCTATGCTTAGCGGTGCCTACGTGTGATCGGGTGTGGATAATAGTGTCTAGATCAGGGTTTCCCAACCTGGGGGTAATTACCCCCAAGGGGGTAAAATGGCATTTTCCGTGGGGTGAATACCGATAATTGGATTTGGTCACAAATCAGTCGCGAAATAAGCTTAATAACGAAATCACACATCGCAACTAGCTCAGCATTTTTAGTTAGCCATCAGTCAATGCAGCTACTACGGCGTGGCGCGTTTGTCGACTGCCACAACTGCTGCCGTGTTTTCGAATAAGCCAGTAGTTCACTGGGTCGAATAACTGGGTGGATAGCAAACTATCGTTTCAGCACTGGTCAAAGTACCAATTATGTTCACAGGTGAATGCTTGACAGTAGGAACGGCGAGAAGGGGTGATTTGTGTTCACAAGTTATGGATACAGAATGGTGTCGGGAAAATGTCGAGGAATAACGTGGAACGGAGGAATGAAACACATGTTCATGTTTGATTAGGAATCAGACACCATGGGGTCAAGAGAGGGCCTGAATCGGGATAACGGTAGGCGTTTGAAAGGGCAGAGAAACGATACAATTGGGGTCACAACCAACATAGAATCAGCAGATTGGACGCCAGTGACCATTATGTGTTATGTTGATCACTTTCATGAGCAGTTGTTTTTGACGAGAAGCCATGTCAGGTGAGCATTTTCATTCAGTGGCTTTGATGCCGACAAAAATATATTTCTAGGTAGAATTTTGTCACATCTAGGCTCACTCAGACAGCCGCCGCAAGCCCGGAAAAGCACTGTACGCGCGTTTCATCCTTTCGGGAATCATCAGCAGTGCGCATTCCACCGGACCCTTGGTATAGCTCGAACCCACAACTCGACTGTTGCCAGTCTGTGGTTGAGACCACTGAGCTACGGGTCACGGCAACGACCATCGTGAATAAGTTACTAGATGTGATATAGCGCCGCTCACTATCCACTGACTTACACGTTACTGCCGTGCAGAGGACAGGGTAGCCCCCTCACCAAGCGACGAGCTTAACCAACTTAAGCCGCCAATTATCGTATGGCATTATAAGCAGTTTGTTCTGTGAAAAAAAATATTTGTCTGCGAACGTTTGCGATAATGTCACCTGCATGGAATAACGAGATTAATTTCTATAAATGATATATATCTATAACATCTACCTACTTAATTGTTTGCAGGGAATACGTCTTCCAGAAAAAAGCGGTCCTACAAAGAAGCATTTCTGCAGTGGGGCTTCACTAACTTCGGTGATAAAAATGTTGAGAAACCGCAATGCGTTTTGTGCAGCAAAGTGCTCACGGCGGAGAGTATGAAACCTAGTAAATTGAAAGAGCACTTCGAACGAAGCCATGCCCATTTGATTGGAGAAGATATTGCATTCTTTAGAAGGAAAGAAGCTGCGCTAAAACGTTCGCGCCTGGATACATCGAGCTCCTTTTCTCAGGCAAATGAGGCTGGCCTTGAAGCTTCGTATCGCATTGTGCTTCGAATCGCCAAAAACAGGAAGCCGCATACCATAGGAGCGGACGTCCTCAAACCTTGCACAATGGATGCGGTTAAGCTCGTTCTTGGAGGACATCATGCGGAGAAGTTTAATATGATATCACTTTCGAACAACACCATCAAAAGTCGTATCGAGGACATGAGCAAACAAATTTTGAACACGGTGCTCAACGAAATAAGATCAAGTCCCTTCTTTGCAATCCAGTTAGATGAGTCAACCGACGTAGCGTCCTGTTCCAAACTACTTGTGTATGTTCGGTATCTAAAAAAAGATAGCTTCAAAGAAGAGTACTTATTCTCAGAATCACTGAGTGCGACTACGCATGGCAAAGATGTCTTCCGAATAGTAAAGAAGTTCCTCGAGGAAAATATGCTACTGTGGTCGAAGTTAGTGTGTGTCTGTACAGACGGAGCACCAGCGATGTTGGGCTTCTGTTCCGGATTCCAAACATTGGTCAAAAATGTTGCTCCGCACGCTACCTTTAGTCACTGCATCATTCATCGTTATGCTTTAGCAGTGAGCACTCTTCCACCTGCTTTACTTGACGTGTTAACCAAAGTAGTAAAGATAGTAAATGTCATCCGCGGTAGTGAGACCCACACAAGAATCTTCACAGATTTATGCAATGAATTTGGAGGCAAATTCGACGTGCTACTATTGCACACAGAAGTGCGTTGGTTGTCACGAGGCAGGGTGTTGCACTGAGTGCTTCAGCTTCGAGAGGAAATTGCATTCTTTCTTCGAAGAAAAGAGATGCATAGGGGTAAGGGAAACGAGTTACACGTTATTATAAAGGACAGCGTATTTATTTCGAAACTTGCTTGTCTTACTGATTTCTTTGGAGAAATCAACACGCTTAACCTCAGCCTGCAAGGGAATATGATGAACATCTTAGTCGCTCAGGATAGAGTAGCCGGTTTCCTTCGCAAACTGCAGCTTTACCAGCGCTCCGTTGATGTTGACGACGTGGCGATATTTTCAGACCTAACGACGGTGCTGGTTGAAAGAAATGAAAAAATGCGCATTCAAGAATGAAATATCTTGCCACTTGTCATCAGTGATGAATTCCATTAGCAAATATTTTCCTGATTTGGAAACTCGCCAATTAAGTGCCTGGGTGCTAGGACCGCTTACAGTAGCTGAAAGGATATTTCCAGATACTGAATTCGAAATCAAGGTACAATTCTTAGGAATGCGCGAAGACAGCGGATTGAAGGTAGATTTCCAAAGCACGCAACTAGTAACATTTTGGGCAAAGGTAGGTGAAGAGTATCCATTACTGTCGGAAAGCGCACTAAGAATATTGATCCCATTTGCGACAACTTATAAATGTGAAAGTGCATTTTCGACAATGATGGTAATGAAAACAAAAGCAAGGAATCGAATAAACTTAGAGCACGACTTGCGATGTGCACTGGCAGAAACTGCACCAAATATACCGGAAATGGTTACCACCAAACAATACCAACCGTCTCATTGATGTATATCGCCTCTTGTTTGCATAGAATTTTGAATTAAAAGCACTGTTTTCTTTCGTTTATTTGTCGAGGGAGATTCCGGATACCGATCACTTCTCGTACTTAAGTCGGATAATTATGTAGTGAGGGGTGTTTCCTTCAATTGCATGATCACGTGAAACTACACATGGCATTTGTTTTTGAACTTTAGAGCGAAATGTGTAATAGTTATTACGTAGTAGTCCTTCGAAAGTTTGGGGGTAAAAGTCTGGTGGGCAACCCCCTTTGTGGGTAACGGCGTCTAAAATGTTGGGAATCAGTGATCTAGATGAAGTAATCAATGCATGCGGTGCTTCATTACACGCTATCATGGAACAATGCGTTAGTTATCGATGGGTGTGGCCGAATTACCTGTTACCTGCAGTTGATCGGCCTTTATGAGGAGGTTAGCCTCAGCATCTGCACAGCAGTGCATGATGTACTGCAGTGAGCTTTGCGGAAGGGTACCGCGTTAATTGTGAGAAGGTTACCGGGTTGGCAAAACTTCGCATTTACTGGTCTATATGCAATCGTTAGTATATTGTAAACGTTGACAGTGTGAACGAATACTTTTGTAAAAAACCGTCATGATTTCATGTAAAACGAAGATTAAACGATAAGCTATGTTAACGTCAGAGAACTCCTCACCAAAGAGCCAAAATGCGACGCAATGGATATGGTGAAACGCCGTTTGACTGAAGAGATTAAGCTGGGGAATGGCCGAAGCTTAAGCTGGTTGAAACAACTGAGAGTAAGCCATTGCGCCGTATATTGTTCTAACTCGGGTTTTAGTAGAAATTAGACACTCAAAAACATGGTGTTATGATTAGATCTTCAACCTCGAGTATTTTGTACGTAGTACTGGCAAACTCCAGTAAATGGACAGAAGTTGTTGGTATCAAGTGGACATAAAAGTGGATAAGTAAAGCTAATTAGTGAGGAATCTGAAATTGCTCACCATGGAGTTACACGTCACCATTCCTTGACCGCTCCGTTTGAAAGAATGATTAGCTTCCAGACCGATTTTTCTTCAACCGGTGGACATAGATGGGACACAGCACTACAATTCCGGTCTTTGTTTTTCGCAGTGCGAAGACCATGTGCAGAGGGAAGGAAGTTGGGAGTGCCCCTTGCAAGTGGATAGTAATGTAATTGCTGGATAGTGGACACTCGAAACCGTTAGTGAAACACTGGTTTCATAATATTCTATAACACATTGAAAATATACGGCGGAATGGATTGGGACGATAAGAATATAATTAGTAGAATGAACTTCCTTTTCCTTTCCGATGGCACTAACAAAGGAATAAAACTCGGGATCTGTTCAACACTGGTGTATCTAAAAGACTGGTTGCGTTCACAAACGTATTTACAATAACTGTGAATATGTCTATAGGACATAGAGCGAGCAAACTGCACACAGCGCTGCTAGAACACGTGTCAAGTGTCACGGCTGCCTTACCGTGAGATTCTGCGGTGGCGACGCACGTGTTAGGTACAGTGCATGTAAGGTGGCCAGATTATTCGTGAGCCAAAGCAAGACACTTCCAGCTTTCTTGCACGCCAAACCGGGACACTTAACCTACCCCCTTTTGTTTCTGCATATGCTGACCTTACAACAAATTGCAATAATTATTTACATTTGTTGCTTCAATGCAATAAAAAAGTACTTAAGTTATTAGTCAGTACAATGGCTGCGCCAATGAATTTAAAAATAAATAACTAAATGGTATATTATCGATAGAAAGAGGCACACAAGTGAAGGCATGATCAAGTATATATATATATATATATATATATATATATATATAAGCATAGCTGTTTTGGAATAGTAAAACGTGTTGTTTAAAAAGTTAAACCAAAATTTTCGTAGTTTGTGCACTTGAGAAGTTTGTCGGATACTAGTGGGATCCAGGAACATTATGGCGCTTGTTCGTGACAAAATCACTGTTACTACTACGGTGGCAACAGCCAACGTTCGGCGTGATTTCGCCATGTTATAGTCCACGGTTTCATGAGCACAGGAGCCAAAGTAAAATGTTGGTACAAGTGTTTCCGATTAAAAGTTGATGTGCTGCTGGACATCGTATTAGCTGGATCCAGAGCTATCGAGCGATACTTTCATACAAAAATAAAGAAATGTGTTATTCTCGACAGTGCGAGACACGCCTGCATATGTATGATTATGGTAATGCAACATGGAGTGGTTAATCTAAAAGCAACATAAGTTTATCCGTAACATATGGATCCATGTTTTAAGTGTGTATAAATGCATGTAGGTCAGAACCAGTATTGTTGTGTTACTTAAATTTGTGAACGTGACGAAATTGTCATTTCAAAACGAACGAATTCTCCCTAGTATTACAACAGCAAACAGTCATCGCCGAACTTGAAAGACTTCAGCTTATCAAGGACAGGAATGCTTAAAGACTCGCGCTCATTAGCCATAATAAAAACCTTGAACTCACCAAGCTGATGAAAAGCGGAAACAAGAGTACGGAAACCCCAACCATGTTGGTTCATTTTAAACAAAAAACTGGCAATCCAACTATAATAAGCTGCGGTTTTATTAATTGCTTTTGGTCTACATTCAATGCCACTGTATAGGTTACCTCGCAAATACTCCCTCTGCTTACTGATGACAAGCTCTGCACAGTTGCTTTGAACTCTGTGATAGAAATCAACTTATTTCCTCTACTAAATTTTTCCCATATACTGTGGCTGACAATTTACCACCGACACAGATGAAAAAAGGTGAATCCGACATCACTGTACTAGTACTGAATTTTTTTCTCCAGCTATGAAAGCCGGTACTGTGCCATCAAAATGGAAATAGGCTGTGCTCATCCCTCGCTACAAGTCAGGCTCTGCGCATGAAATGCGCAAACCTTTCCTTTTGCCGATGACATAAAAACTGTATACACATTTAATCCAACCGAGGTCATTACTATGTTAAGCGAAATCCAGCTTGACCTACTAGCCCTCAACTCATGGAGCTCCAAATGGATGATGACATTCTCTGCTGATAAATGCCACGTAGTATCCTATAGATGTGATATCACACCAGGCTTGCTTGCTATTGATGGTAAACCACTGTCTCACTGCCACACTATCCATGACCTAGATATCCACTAGTCAAACACTCTTAACTTTGCCGAATACACCGCACATACTGCAGCTCAAACCCGTCGGAGAATTGGGCTTCTGTTCAAAACATTCAACCTGAAAGAATCAAGTAACACTTGTTGAAAAATACGTTCATTGCTTGATTATGGCTCAATCTTCTACTGTAATTCCAAAGTGAGTGATCGTATGACATGCGAACTTTCACAACGATCATGTATTAAGCGTTTGCCAGGCTATTCCACCACCATTTGTTATATGGATCGTGACATTGCCTTAACAGGTGATCCACTCTGGCTGCGAAGAATGAACATTAACCTTTTCCTCTTTGATACGCTTGCCCAAAAAGTACACTACTCACACCCAACGGTACAACCAGCAGGATTGTCAACGTATTGCACACGAAATAATAACAACAATAAAGTAAAAGTGAAGTGATCACGAGCAAACTTGTTCTTTAACCAGTACTCCATACTATGGAGCAGACTTCCATCTGAGGTACGTGAAATGCAGTCAGGGATAAAGTTCCGACAAGGCATACATTTGTTCCTAAACGTAGAAATAGCAGTTGGTTTACTGCGACCTATCATGACAAATGAATTCCCGTACGAAATTGGTGCAAGATGGATCTAACCTCATTATTTGCGTAATTTTTCTTTCTGTTGTTGTCAGATTGCTACGGTCCCCATGTCTATCAGTAGATAAAAGCTGTTTTTCAAAGGAAACGTATCCTGATTACCATAAGGTTTACGCTTATCAAAACGGAAATATATCCTAGAACTCCTCTCTAGGAAACTGCTTCATATTCGTTCTGCAACACTAATCATTTTCTAGTTTTTCCTAGAGACCACTCCTTAGGCACGTGCTGCAGTTTTCCGTGCTCCGCGAAAACAAAATGTAGATATTATCTCCGCTTTTGACTGGATTCATCTGAGGGCCATATCTGAAAAACTAACAGGATCATCCATGTTTACGATCACTCTGAATGCTTACCTCCTTCAAAATCAACTTCACTTACCGAATGCAGTTAAACTGTTAGAAGGACAATAAACTTGCCCTACACTGCGTACAGTTTGCTCTCCCTCTCTGGAGAAAATATTTCGTGCACCGACGATTTTTCTCAAAGCCATTTCACTTCACCAGTCTCCCAAATGTGATGTTCTACAACTGTTGGAATCATCCCAAATATTTCCTCTGAAAATGCCTTTCAAAAAACTTGTACAATTCTGAAGGTTTATGTCTTCAGTGATAAATTGTACCATCAGTATCGGACAACTTGGGACAAAAACTCATCATCATCATTCCTGCTTCTTCATCCCTTTTCGCTTTGTTTATTTCTCTCCTACCACTGTTGGCCACGACTGAGCTGATCTCTCGAATTGATTGGTAAATGCTTCCAAAAATGGAATACACTCATGAAATGCGACTTGTTACGTACTCTCTGGTGAATATAAAAATTGATAGACTCGAATTAGCTAAATGATGGCTGTATAATGGGTAGAACTTAACATATTACACAGGCTCCCATATAAATTTTATACGTATTTATGTATAAGATGTCACCATGATGATGATAAAATTGTTTGTGACAACAGCCAACAAGAAAAGGCGAGTCCAAAAATACATTGGCTAGTTGCATTAAGCCACAACAGCGCATGACCAAATGAAATGTGTAAGTGTACTGTGGTAGCAGCTCTTCGGGAAACGGTTCCATGAAGGGTCAAGTTCTGGTGGGACTGGAAGGATAGGAGAATCTCGTGAGTGTTCCATATTGAGTGGATCGTTGAGCCAGAAATTGATGAAGTGCACAGAGTCATTGATCGGACTAAAACGGAACACCCGTGACGCACCCTGGCCAAACAGTAAATGCCCACTGTTCCTGCCCTAGCAGTCTCTGCTGTGTCAGGAACGTGAAGTAAGCAAAGGATAGTAAGAGAAATCGAAGGTACAGAATAAAGAAGTGCATTTGAAATAAGAAAATAATACCAAGGCATAACGAAAAGTAGAGAAAATAAAATCGAAGTATGAAGAATTGAGTTGGTCAGGAAAAGGGACACGTTTCGTGTTGCCACCCAAGAGCGTCAACTTGCCGCTCAAACCCCTTAACTGTCGATTCCCTGATAACACTTTCCGGAAGCCTGTTCTAGCTCTCGATGACTCGGCGTGATAGCCGGATTTCCGCCCTAATCCGATCGGACCGCGGTTTGTCCGGCTTCAAGGAATGACCGTGTAAAACAGACAATGTAGCGGGACTGAATAGCCAAGCTAAATCTGGACCAACCTTCCCAGTTAAGATACAGTAGTTTAGGAGTAGGTCTCCTCTAAGTCTTCGGTAGCGCATTGGATGCATTACCAAACTAAGTAGACGCTCGGGATTTGTACGTCCCCGTATTACTTTACTTGGCCTGACGGCTATAACAACTTTTATTCCTGCTCCCAGTTTCTCCATATTTTCCTACTGTTAAATTACTGAGCATCTCAAACTCTTTAATGAGAGCTCTTGCAAAATCCCTCCACTATCCAACTTCGTTGTACCAACTGCTCAGGCTGGTATCTTTCCTGTGACTGGCATGTCTAAATATACCGCTTATTTATTTGTTTAGTTCATCATGTTTTGTTTACGCAAAAATTGCAGCTCCAAAGCTTAAGGCGTTTAAGCTGCAGCCAACTATCCAATTTGGTACGGTGATTTATGTAAAAGATCTCCATCAATAACCTTGCCTAAGGCAACTTAAAATGATCCGTAATTGTTTTAGGATAACCATACCCTTGACTTCTCGTAAATTGAGATGTAAAGTAAAGAAAGCTATGGCGGAAAGCTAAAGATTAGATCAAGCGCATTATGGATCAGTGTTTTAGTTTCATAAAATCGATGTTTCTGAATATCCAATAACTCATGGAAATCAAGCGTTCAAAAAGTAACGCAAAATAAGTTTTTATTAGCATCTGCATTATAGATGTGTCCTGTGGTGGTTAAGTCTATCCTAAATGCAACAACAACATGGTATGCTCATTCGAACTGAAACATATTTAACTGGTTTTTCAACTGGTGGTTCTTGCTCGAAATCACTGCGCACCACGACGCGTTTCGAACTTATTTCATCTCATCAAGTAGATAGCGGTCTTGGAAGCCAGGACCACTGGGATGTTAGTTGAGACCTCTACCCCTAAGCTGCCAGGTCACGTCGCGCAACACTTGACGTAACGGTTGATATCTGATCGGAGGGTTGGTTTGCGACGCGCACTCTGACTAAGGACCGGAATTACCATCGAAGAGAAACTTGTCCAAATCGGTCACTTGGGCCATAGTTGATGAAAGTAGTGGCTATTGGGTGTTGCTGCTTAATGACACTACACTCCACGGTCGATTCGCAGACAGCAGAACGACCTCCATCTTGTCCACCGAGTTCAGTGTTACCCGAAGTAAGGGGAGGTCACCGTAGTGCTATGCGTTTGGGTGACGCGAGATGCGTTTAATGTCGTTGGATCAGCATTGACACCGACTGCCGTTCAGACGGAACTCCATTGATTTCGATCGTGCGTCATCCTACCCTTAACTTTATTGGATTTGGATTCGGGCACCTTAGTGCACACAAGGTTTAAGGCACCATTGTAGGCTCTGGTGGCTACTGGTTTTGGAGTTAGTTTCCGGTGCGTTTGGTGCATTTGTGAACGGCACTGATAGCGGCCATCCGTGCAGCGACATTTTAATTTTCTCTATTTCGGCCACCAAGGTTACCGGTACCATTTCTAGTGTTTGCCTGGCGGCAACCGATACATACGTTAACTGGTTCCTCATTATGCCTGGTTGACGGCAGCTCAGGGTTTTCCGCAATGCGAGCAAACTACTACGTGTAATACACAGTGTACAGCAGTTGAAGCTTGCACGCTGCAGGCAATGTTTTACGTATGGGAGAGAGAGAGAGAAGGGAGTTGCTACTGATTGTGACTGAGTCGTCGGGGTAATGTTAGGACGCCTGGCTCTCTTCTTCGACCTGAAAAGAAATTCGGGGTGTTATTTTCACTTAAAATTGCAGATCCTTTTCCTCTCGTAAGTGCAACCACGGCGCACACCAGTTGCTCGACTGCTTCCGTCAGTCTTACACACTTCTTCAGTAGCACAGTTAGACAGTTAACAACTGGGATAGCACTGCATACTGGGCAGAACCAAAGTGCCTCTGTCGTGTTATTGTACCGTCCCGTTTTTATCGACTCCGTCCCAAGGCATTTTGTGTGATAGGTTTTCAAGCAACTGCTGCAAACTAGAGCACTCTTCACCAATTTAACGCATAACTCACACTTGCTCTTAACGTAATACATATTCGCCGACGGCGAGGATTTAAGGTCACACGTTTGTCGGATGGTCAGTTAGTGCTATAATAAGCGTGAATCAGCGTGGCACGCAAGCTGACAGCGGTGATCCCTTGTAAGCACACGTTATAGTGTTGGTCCGCTGTTCGATCGATGTTACGCCCTGCTGGTTTGGGACTTAATAAATAAATTTAAACACAACGCTGAACATGGATTAAGGGATTACAAATTCATTCACAGATGCGTTGAGAAACACCCGATTGAAATAAGCTAGGGCTTTTTCAACTGCCTCTAGAATTCTGCACCGAACAGTGTTACGCAGAAGGGCAATGGGCATAAGGTTAATGCGTTATCACTTTGTGTTCAAACACGGATGACAGTCAAATCCGTTGGCGATGGTTAGGACTTTAGTGGTAAAAGATATTTCCACCTATGGTGAATCACTGTGTAGATCTGGTAAATCAGGTTCGAAAGAGCGTACGTTGCGAGAAGATAGAAATAAGATACCTAGGATTATTCCAAATGACCCGGGAGAACGCGCTTTAAGTGTGTTATGTTGATGACTAAGCAGTAAAATAATACGATTAATTCAAGCCGGTTTTTTACAAGACGCATGGCACGGATGAATATGTAGCTACAGGCACTTGCAATAGGCCGACCGCAATTCGCTCAGTGAATAACAATGCCCAAACTGAAGTTTCGAGGGAATAAACTATCCACAGACCAGACTTGTGCAATGAAATACTGTGCGGAAAGCCACATCTAAAGGCAGTTTACATCATTAGCAAATAAATTTAAAGTCGCTTCTTTGTCAATTCTCAAAAGGTTAGGAATTTCAGAATCAGCCAAGAGTTACTTCCTTGATGTCACATATTCGACTAAATGGGAAGGTCTAATCTTGTTCGTTCGTCTTGTAAAGCGAGTTGTCTAGACCCTAGCACTCAGCTGAAACATGAACTAGTTACGTTCTGGAAGGTAGTGGAAATCAAACATGGTGGTAATCCCTCAGATGGATGAGTGCGATGAGCACAAAGAAACAAGTGTAGTCATGTATAAACATCGTGCAAAGTATGATGCAAATTAACTTACTACTAGCAAAAGTAAGACGGGTTAAACGGATTGCAAAAGCTGAGTTTGGTCATAACTTCATAGAGATCTATTTGAGAGTAAAATAAGCACGCGGAAAATATGGGTTTTATGAATTCCGTATTTACTTGTAAGTTGAGTGTCCAAAAGAATATTATTGTTACGTGGTAGAAAAGTGAGGGGGAAATAAAACAACAAAGCAGAGGCCTGCAAATCAAAAAGTAAAATGTAAGGATTTACGAAAATGGAAATAATGATAGATAGTAATACAATTTAGAAAGAATAAAGCGAAGGTACTAGCTACCAACTGTGGCCATGTGAGTATGTTTGTCATCCACTAATGTTAAAAGCAATCGGACACACGTTTGATAAAAAGCATTTATTGCCCACGTCCGAATATTGCCGTATTAAGTTTAGAAGTCTGGGTATATTTGGCTTAAAGACCATAAAAATATGATCAACGCATCTTCACCAAAAGCAGCTACAGTAACCCCAAACTAGTTTCCTTTATATATATATATATATATATATATATATATATATATATATATATGTAGTGCGCTAGAACCAGCGCGTATATCGCTCATCAGATTAAACTACATACACAAGCGTCTATGACAAGAATTACATAGGGAACACTGCATGTTGTAGTTTTGATGAAACCGTATATGAATTCCGTGGCACATAATGTAGTGTCTAAATTCTGGACCATAGTTAGGCACAAATATTACCTTTCAAGTAACAGCCTAATATGGAATGGGCTACCTAATGGTATAAGCGACTTCCTCAAAGAGATTAATGATCCTCCTGTCATCAGTGAAAGTGAAATAGGCCCTACTTTACTAAATAAATCATGGCGTTACTTGAGAAAGGACCGGACAATAAATGAAGTAATTAACAGTCTACGAGATTTGTGTTGGACAGCGAAGCGTTTTAAGCAGACAGGTTGGCTGTAATATGCTAAGATGAAAGAAAAGAATCTATAAATGAAAAAAACCGAATAATCAGTAAAACTG